CTTGAAGTTAAACTATTCCAAGAATTTCATATGTCAAAAATCAGGCTGAAAATTTATAGTGCAACTTTTATATTAGCACAAAACTCTTCGACGAGCGACATAATCTCATAGTACATCTTGCATCAATATCTATCAATGCCCATGTACTAAATACTAACCAACACCTTGTGTAATCTTGATTGTAACAACACATTTTTTACTTTAACTTTACAAAGGTCAAAAACAATTCTTCCATCAATTTTCTTTAGCCTAAACTGCACAACAGAACTTGTGATTGTAACTCGACAACTCTTTCATAACACCATCATTCTTTTCTAATGTGTAAGATTAGACAAAACTGCAACCATAAAGTATACTAAGAACTCATATACCCGAATTGAACCAAAAGATCTAATACCAGTTTTTGTAAAAACCGATAAAGAGAAAATAAAGTAATACAATCACAACAAATGTTATAATGTGGAAACCCTAAAATCGGAGAAAAACCACGATCGTTGTAAAATGATAATCAAGAAATACACTATGTGAAAATTGTTACAACACCTAATTTACCCTCAACCACCCCAGGCATCTAGTAATCACATACCCCACACAAATATTTAACTATATTTCACAACACTCTAACACAAGAATATAAGAAGAAAAAAAAGACAAATACTGACTTAAAATTATTTTTACTAGTGCATTTTGTAATGAAAAACTTTAATCCATTATAAAATTCTTGGACTATCTAACGTGATATTTCTTTAACATGTATATTTTTAACCAACCCCAACAAAAAATTCTTTGGCTATCTAAAGTTTCTATTATGAATAATACAACGATAAAATATATATATATATATATATATATATATATATATATATATATATATATATATATATATATATATATATATATATATATATATATATATATATACACACACATACAGAGAGAAAGACCCGATATGAAAAAAGATATTGTGGAATATGTGGCTAAATTTATCGTGTGTCAGTAAGTAAAGATCAAACATCAAACATCAAACATCAAAGAACAATTTATATGTTGCAACCCTTGGAAATACCCGAATGGAAGTGGGAGAGTATCTCAATGGACTTCATCGTGGCTTTACCTCGTACGCTTGGCGGCCACGACTCAATTTTAGTAATTGTTGATAAATTAACCAAATCAGCTCATTTTTTACATATCAAGACTAAATACATGGTTATCTGCCTAGTAAGGTTATTCATTGTGGAGTTTCAATTGCATGGCGTAATAACTAGTATCGCGTCTGACCGGGACCTGAAGTTTACTTATAGGTTTTGGAAGGCTTTCCATCACACAATGGGAACAATTTTGAACCTTAGTACCTCAAACCATCCTCAATCAGATGGGTTAACATAAAGGACTATGCGAACCGTCGAAGATATATTGCGGGCATGTGTATTAGAAACCTCTGTTCAATTTGATTTGAGTAAGGATATGTGCTTGATTTGAATAAGGCACACAAAATCTCAATTTTTCATAATTTTTGCAATACTTTTAGATTTTTCTTTTCAACTATCTTGAAACAATAACACACATGGTTCTTATTCCACTAACTCATGCAATTGAGTAAAAGCATCACAATCAAGCTCAAATATAACCATTGATTTATGCATGCTAAAATAAATCGATTCAAACAAGATTCAGAGATGTGCAATCATAAAGGAGACTTAATAAACAATAATAAACAAAAGTGATAAGATAAGCTGCAAGGTAACCAAATTTGGGTGCTCCCCTGAATGTGTTAGGGACATTCAACTTCACTCTCCCCTTATAGATATGGAGCTTCATTTGTGGTCGGCATACTACCTCTTTAGATAATTAGTCTTATAACATGAGTTAGGATCTGATGTCATTTGTTGTATAAGTGACTAAAGACACAAAAGGGCAGGGGTGAGTTGTGTTGCTTAGAAAAGTAATGTCTAAATATAAAAATATTTGGTAAAAGCAATTGCTTAAAACATTTTTTTCAAAGAGTGAGGATCATAATCAATAAATAGAATAAAATGAGAGTTAAAAACATATTTGAACGTAAACATAAATAAGCATACAACATAAATAAAGAGAGTGAATGAATAAGAAGAATGCATAAGAGATTTATAGATGTTTGGCCTAACCACTTGGCTTACTCCTCTCCCAAAAAATATCTTCTTCAAAGTTTCCACTATATGTGTGAGCTTTTCATATGTTATGCCCACAAACCCTCTTACAAACAAACTTGGAGTTTTGCACTAGATATCATCCAAACCAAACGAGAGATTTATACTAGGATAATATTGAACCAAATGAGAGATTTTACACCAAGCTCAACTCACGAACAAAATTGAGATTTTTAGACTATCTCACAAACCAAATGAGATCTTTTATAGCAGGCGAAGCTCACGAACTAAACATAGATTTTGATGGACAATCTCACAAATAAAACAAATACTTATCTCAAAGTTATTTTGTAAGAGATACAAAAATATCTTGCACAAATTACAATATCACCCCTAAACCATAATACACTACAAAAAGATAACTAATACATTTTACTCCTAAAACACTAAGGCAATTATAATGAAATGAGAGAAATGAGAGGAAAAGGAGAAGAGAGTGAGAAAGAGTATTAAAACATGTTTTGTAGTGTGATTTGAATGTGAGGAAAGCCCTCTATTTATATAAGACAAATATATTTATGGAATTTTTAATGCTCATAATTGATTATGTATATAACCTAATTGATTATGTGCTTCGTAAAAACGGAAACCCTAAATCCTAAAAGGAAACCTCAGAAAGAATAGTGTCCTAATTGATAAAGAGTGTTCAAAATCAATAAGGAAGCTTTGAACCTTGTTGTAATCAATTCACTTAGAGCCTTAACTGATTAGGTAGTGTATATAAGCCTCCTAAGTGGTTAGGAACTCCCTTTGGAATTCCACAAACACCTTGATGATTCCTCTAAGGTTTAAAGGAGTTTTATCAAGTAGAGAGGTTAGTATTTTTTTAGGTGAGCGTGTGCATTGCCTTAGTAGTTTAAGAACTACTCGAATATATTTTACAAAACTCTGACCACTCAGACACAAACCTGAAAAGCTTTCACACTTCCTCTCTTTCACTATCTTGAAGCTTTAATATCCCTAACTATATTCACCATGGATTCATCACTTCATTTGGGACTTGACTTATTTTATCTGATAAAGCTTGATATAACTTATTTGATTAACACCGTGCTTGATCATAGATCTTCAATGAATCCACTAAATGCTGCTTGAAATTAGGTGTCGTCCTTAATATTTTGGCTTTGACATATTGATTATCACTTCAGATGAACACTTCACTTTATAGTGTTGTCACCATCAAAACCATATAGGTCAACTGATTGTTGCAGTCATTATAACTGCAACCACATAAATCCACACCATAATGACGATGACGAATGTTGAACAAGATCTTCATTGTCATCTTTTGGCGCCTCTTCTTAAAAGTTGGTGGGCCAATTTTTTATAAATGACTATGTATCATGTAATGGTACATTATGGTAAACTCGTGTACCACCAAAGTGTACCATCCTTCAGACTATGTGAAAGAGCTTATACTTCAATGGCATCGATGCTTTGATTATGGTCATTCGTGTGTTGGTCGCGACCAAGTGCTCTTGGGGGTTCTTTTTCTATCGAAGGTTTCCAAGTGAGGGGGGCTTGAAGTTCTCTAAAACACGGGCCTCCCAAATTTCTTGACATAGAGGTTAAAGGTCCTCCAACTCTTCCTTGAGATCCTCCTTTGTGATTATCTTGTGTTGAACTTCCTAAATTTAAAAGATTAAACCTGTCACCCTCCACACTTATACCTGACACCTTCAAATGATAGTACTATTACTCTTATACCCCTAAACTTTACACTATCGAAAATTTCAAGAAAATACCAGATTTTTTTTGAAATTTCTAATCGTAAATTATCGGAAATTTTGAAAAATTTCTAGATTTTTCAAAATAAATAAATAAATTTTTTACACTACGGTTGAAATTTCAGTATATTTCAAAATTTTTGATAATATAAAAAAATATAATTTTTTTAAAATTATACCAGAAATTTGATATATTACTGAAAACTTCATTTTTTTTTCCACCCTAAATATATTCATAAGCAATTTAGGAATTAAGAAAAAAAATAGAGGTGTCAGATTTAATTTAAGAGATGTCATATTAAATCCTCCTAAATTTACTATCTAATATCTAGCCAATACTATTAGATTGGCCGGAGACCTTAAAGTGCCCTTCCCTTAAAAATATTTTACACTACAAATCGGACAATTTGGTAACTAGCAAAACAAGCTTCACTTTTCAATCATCATTTGACACTTGGCAGCCTCGATTCTTCTTGAATTCAAAAATATATTTCTCTCCTTACCCAAAAGCATTTTCACTCTCATACTCTTTTCCGAAAGTTTTAAACAATCTTAGGTATGCATTCTTCTTTTCTCTTACTATTTCGTTTCAATTTCTTTTGCAATATTTGTTGTTTGTCTTGTTGGGGCGGTGAACAAGAACAATGACAATGTTTTGGTTTTTCAGGTTTTGATTTTCACTGCTTCTTTCTTGCATAAGGTTTCAACTTTTCTTGCTTCTAGTTTCATGTTATGTATATTTTTCAATTTAATATATGCACACCATGTGTTTGATAAAATTCTGCTGTGGATTTTCATCAACATCAGGATACTTGATGCTGACAATGAACTAATTAAGCTAAGTGCCAACTATTATGGTACAAATAATGACCTGTTTCACAGCCAACTATCTCACCGACGCTTTCAAAACGTAGGTACTCTCTTTTTCATTCGCTATGTAGTTCCCAATTTCACAAATCTCATTTTTAGGTCTTTCTAGGTTTCGATTTCAGTTTCAACCTTAACATTGCCAAATCGTAATGGTTTTTGAGATTGAGTTGTCAAATGAGTGGACGAGCTTTTGAAACTGAATCCCTTTTTTGCTAATATGGTGGATGCTAAGGGAAACACCGTGCTGCATATAACAACCCGGCAGGGTCATTTACAGGTTTGAAATTTTTTTTTCTTTCTCTTTCTTATGAAGCACTGAACTAATCATATCGGCCCAAGGTGTTTAGAAGCCTAAAACACATTTTATTGTGAGGCCTTAAAAAATAACATAAGATGTTTAGAAGCCCAAAAAAAACATATTGTAGTATGCAAAATCATCTTAGTATACAAGTCTCCTTCTACGAACAGAGCCCTTGAACTCAAACGAACTGTGAGTGACATAAAATCATGTGTTTAATATTAATGAATTAATGCATTGTTGATTGTTAATTAGTTTATTTTTAATGTGATATTAGGTTGTTTAACTGACTTTGATGCTCAAAAACTGATCTTATAATGCAGTTAATTTTTTTGCTTCCTTTTTTCCCATATTATAATGCAGGATGATGTTGATTGGGAAAAGTTAGGAGTGAAAGAGGTTAGTGGTTTTTGATATCGTTCTGTCTATGTTTTTGTTGATCAGGTTAGATACTGCATTGATATTACTTTGAAGGTCTTAGAAATAGCTTATGTACCCGGGCTTGATGTTTCTGTCGCTGTTGCTCATGAAGTGTCTGTTACAACTTTCGGTATTTAGATTGGGAGATTTTCTTATTATTCTCCATGCAAAGTTCAACTACTTATATCCATATGCCATATTTCAGGTTCAGGAGTTTCACCTACAAAAATATATATCACAGAGCGTGTAAGAATCTACTTTTATGTCTCTTGTAATTTTCTTTCAGCTGTCGACTATTACGGCTACATTCTGATTTACTTATTGAACCAAGTCAATTGATCGTTCTATTCCTCCTTTCATTATTAAATTCTTATTTATTAAGTAGCATAATTGAGTTTTCATTCGTAAGATTAAGGCTATTTTGATGCAGTAGGCAGGTATATATGCTTGAAATCATGTTGTGGACAAGTTTTGATGCAACTTTAGGCTATTTTTTGGCAGATGTACATGGTCTGATCAGATGCAGCAAGTTTTTTCGGAACTGTCATGCAAACTCCAATTTGCAACCAAATGACTCTTTCTTTTTATGATTAAACCTTCGTGCTTTTAGAATATCAACCTCTTTTATGGATATGGGAAAATTTGTGTCAGACTTAGCGAGAAGTTCCACCTTTCTTTGGATGATAAAAACGGAGACTTCTAAATTTATCATCGACATAGTAGAATAAAAGAACTTAGCAGTTTGATGGAATACCAAGACTTTTGATGGCGTTAGTTAGTGTTGTTTTGACGCAAAATTCTCTACGAAGTTCTTATTCTTACTGTTTATAAAATCTGTAACATTTGCAGCGTTAATAATGCGATAGATTTGGACTCTGTTAGATCAAGACTTCTCAGCAATGTAACCAAAGGAGACGACTGAATGGTTTATGTTGAACGACTATGAATGTTAATTGCGGGAATGCAAATGAATGTTGGTACTCGGTAATTGTATGGTAATTGTTGGTTGGATTTTTGAAGTCACTGTTTTGGTTACAACAGCCAGCTATAGAGGGAGTGTAAGAAAAGTAAACATAGATTTTGAGGAGGGATTATAACCCTTGTATTATGTGTATTATTTTTGTTCAACACTAATTCCATTTTGACTGGTACTTGAGTTTTCCTGTGATTATTGGAGTTGTTTCTTTTTACAAGCTTTTAGTTCAACATTATATTCTCTACTTTTTTTTTTGAACGGGGAAATAGGAATACCTCGTGAGCTTGTGTATTTGAGTTGCAGAACTTTTTTTTAGGAAGAAAAATATATATTAAAATATAAAAAAAGGAGATACAAGGTCACAAGGGAGGGACCAAACCAAAACCCCTGAAGAAAGGAGTCTAAGTCTAGGGGTATCATTCTTGTCAAGCAAGTAATTTCTAAGAATATCCTTATGAACAAAAGAAAGTCAAGTAAAAGTCTTATACTTGAGACCAAGGCTAGCAAGGATATCAACACAAAAATTGACTTCTCTAAAGATGTGAGTGATCAAAAATCAATCGAAAGCGTGTATGCACGACAACTAAGCCAATGAGACTTGATGCACTAAGGCATAAGGTCTAAGTTTGAGAAAGCTTTGACAACAAGCAAACAATTCGACTCAATCCAAAGCTTCTTCCAACTGAGATCTCTAGCTTTTTCAATAGCAACCAAGACAACTGTAAATTCAGCAACTTCCGCTTTGCCTACACCCATAAAATCACAAAAGCTTCCAATGTGACAAGCTTTGTCATCCTTGAATATACCTCCAAAAGCGCAGACAGTAGGGGAGCCTCTAGCTAGCCCATCAACATTGCACTTAATCCAATCCACCGGAGGAGGAGACCACAAGACATCAATAGTGGTTAAGGTCTTACCCGGATGAATTGTTATTCAAGTCTTTTCAAAGAGAAAAATTCGAAATAGAAACATTAGACGACTTGACCGTGTTGTTACTAGATAATTTGGCCTACGAAGATATGTTGGTTATGCAACATTTCCAAAGAATCTTCTTTCCTTCAAATGTCATTAAGTTTCTAGCCCTCCAAACTTTGATAGAACACATTAGCAATGCAAGCCACCACAACAGTAGAGGCTTGAGGAGACCAGTTGTCCGCAAGAATAGATAAACAATCTTGCATATTGTGAACTATAATTCGAGTTTCCAGCAAATTCTTTAGCCAATTCCAATAATTTTTTACTAAGGGGCATTCGAAAAACAGGTGAAAAGAGGTTTCCCGATGAGAGTGGCCAAGATCACAAACCGAAGGAAAAGAGAAACCCCTAAGGGTTAAGTTGTCATTAGTTTGGATCTTATTGTATAAAAGCCTCCACACCAGCAAAGATTGAGATGGTGGAATGAATGTGTTCCACATAAAATATTGCCAAGACACTCGCTGGCAATGACATTGAACAAAATCGAAAGCTTGCTTTAGGCTAAGCTGCCCATTGTTCGAATTCTTCCATATGAGGACATCTTCAATATCAGTGCCAGCAGGAGTAATTATGGAAACCGTTGAGAGAAGATCAGGGCAGGCAGATAACAAATTGTCTGGAAAATACCAGCAACTGTTATGCAAAAAGTCAGAAATCCTAGAAGTTAAAATGTTATGAAACTTCTCATGAATGTTGAATTGTTTAACCAAAGGCTCACCTAGCCAATTATCAATCCAAAAGTTAACAAACTTTCCATTACCAACCAACCATTGAGTGTTATCCATGATAGTACCAAAAGACTCTTTGATGCTACTCTAAATTGAAGACTTAATAGAATATTTTATGTTGTGATTATTCCTTCTCACTCTAGCAGCCAACACCTTAGACCTACCTTTAGAGTCCTTTAAAAAACGCCAACACAAATGTAAATTTGCAGCATCATTAAAAGTCTTTACAGATTTGATTCCTAAACCCCCTTCTTTCAAATTTTTGCAACAAATCTTCCATTTCACAGTAACTAACTTCCGTTTATCCACATTGCCACTCCAAATAAAATTCCGCATCCAAGTCTCAATATTTTTTATAGTGCTAGCAGGCCAGTTATAAACAGTGATGTAGTGGACAGTCATGCTTAGAATAACCGATTTCACAAGCTGAGTTCTTCCTGCCATGAAGAGAAGGCTAGCCTTCCAAGCAGCCAGCTTAATTCTAATCATGTCAGCAACAAATTGAAAGTGAGCAGATTTTGGTCTCCCAATGAAAATATGAGCACCAAGATAGATGAAAGGAGGATAGGAAATTTTGAATACAATCAGATCGACCAACCTTTGATGCCTACTTTGAATCATTCCACCTGCATAAATAATAGACTTAGCATTATTACAATATTGACCAGAGCAATTAGCATAATCCTTCAGAAGATTGGCAATAGCATTCAAAGAGTTAGGGTCCCCACGACGAAAAAACATGATATCATCAGTGTATAAGTTATGGGAAGGTACAAAGCAATTTCTAGAAGCTTTTATGAGATTGATTTGATTGCTATCAACCAGGTTAGAAATGCCCATGCTGAGCACTTCTTCAGCAAGACAAAAAAGAAAAGGGGATAAAGAATCTCCTTGTCTAACACCATTAGAGCATTTAAAATAACCAACTTGTTTGCCATTAAGCCCTATGTAAAGGTATGCAGACTTAAAGATCACCAAAATCCAGTTGCAAAATTTTCCATTGAAGCCAAAGCATTCAAGGGTTTTAATCATGAAAGACCAACTAAGAGTGTCAAAAGCCTTGGAAATATCAATTTTCAGAGCCACGTTACCACTAAAACATTTATTATTCAGGATATTTATAGCCCCTGAAGTAAGACAAATACCATCTCTAATGTTTCTCCCTTCTATAAAACCATTTTGCTCAGGAGAGACTAAAGAGGGGAGAATGGAAGCTAGCCTATCAACTATAATTTAGTGATTATCTTAAATTTAAAATTAGCCAGAGCAATGGGGCGGTAATGGCTAAGGGCACTAGCATATTTAGTTTTGGAAATTAAAACAATAGTGTTAGCATTGTAATTAGGAGGAATTCATACATGCAAAAAGAATTGACAAACAACATTAATCACATAATTTTTTATGACGTCCCAATAATTCTGAAAAAAGAAAGCTCCAAATTCGTCTAGGCCAGGAGCATAATCAGTTTTGAGGTTCATGACCGCCTTGTGGATTTCCTCAGCAGAAAAAGCCATGGTAAACATGAAATTAATATAGCCATCCACCATTTTAGGTATGAGATATTGAATCATTCCGTTGTCTTGCAAAACCGCATTGTTATTGAATAACGAATAAAAATGATTCTCAATGTGCTCCTCCAAAATCTGCCTGTCAGTAGAATCATTAATTATCAAGGATGATATGAGATTGGTTTTTCTTCTAATTTTGGCATATTGATGAAAAAACCTGGTATTTCTGTCCCCAGAAATGTTCCAATTCAACCTGGACTTTTCCTTCCAAAATTATTCTTCAAGGTTAAGGACCAAATCCAAGTCATGTTGAGCCTTCAATTCCTTAGCCTGCAAAAAATCAGCGTACCCTGCTGCCTCTGCATCAACCTGGATCTTTTTGAGAATGTTCTCAGCATCCGTAACCTTACCTTTCACATCACCAAAGGTGGTTTTATTCAAAACTTTTAGATTTTCTTTCAAAATTCTAAGTTTTCTGTCCAGGATGTACATAGGCAGCTTGTTACCATAGTGTCCCAAGAGCTTTTGATAACTCTGCTACAATCATCATTTAAAGACCACATTTTAAGAAATTTAAATCGAGACCTGAAATGCACTTTCTCAAAATTACAGGTTAGCATCAGAGGATAATGATCAGATTTGTATTTAGTAAGAGTGTTGCAAACCGCAATATTACATGCATCAAACAAGTCTACATTACAAAGAACCCTATCACGCCTTTTTTCAATTAGTTGATTACCTTTCCTACCATTATACCAAGTAAAGAAGTTGCACACGGTAGGAAGATGGATAAAATGGTTCCCATCAGACCAATTGAAGAAGTCATTCATAGGAATTTTTGCAGGGATGTGACTCCCTTTATACTCATCTGTACTAATAATTGCATTAAAATCACCAATAGAGCACCAAGGGGTGTTAGAGGTAATGTTACCAAGCTTATTCCAAAGGTTTATCCTATGTAAATAGCATGTGGAAGCATAAACAACATAGAATCCTAGAGTAATATTGTGAATATTCAAAGTGAAGGAAATAAATTGGTCATCAGCAAAAATAATGTTAGGGTTTAAATTAGACTTACAAAAGCACCAAAGGTTTGGAAGAAGCCAAATTATTTGATTAAAAGCAAAAGGCTTCAGGTACAAATTGTTCCTTGAAAGTCTGTTCTTATGTTCTCCCTACTAGTTTCTTCTTAATTAGCATCTTTCTCCATCTGGACTATTGTTCCTTGGAAGCTCGTTCGCATGTTCTCCCCACTGGTTTCAACATGATTAACGTCTTTTTCCATCTGAACATTTAAGTTGTTCTCCAAGATTTCGTATGTTCTACCATTTTGAGGAATTGCTTTTGGGTTTTTTTCTTTCCCACAGGAGCATGAAATGGCTTATCAGGTTTGTAATGTTTCTGTATCGCATCCTTCTCTTTCGCCAGAAGGTTTTCTTTTCTTTTACAATTAGATAAATAATGCCTTATGCAAGAGCATAAGGAGCAAAAATCTGGGACCTTTTCATATTCGATGTCTACAAAGAAAGAGAATCCAACTCTTTCAACTAAAATCTTGTAACAGAACTCTTTGGTATGGTCCAAATCCACTAATACTCTAACAAAATACCCGAGAGGTCTTTCAAAAGAAGACTTATTTGACGCATAATCAATGCAGATCAGATTTTTGACACTGCTAACTATCACATATATTACTCGTGGACGCCAATATTCCTGGACAATCCATGAATCTGAATCCACACTTGTGCGGATATTTGTTTGAGAGTATAGAGACAAAAATGGTGAGACTAAACCATTGGATTCACTTAACTCGCAAAAATCAATGAAGTCGCCACCCGCAATTTTATTTTATTCAAAGGACTAGGAAAAAAAGTGAATAAAACCTAAAGTAAAATAGAGATCAAGGTCGAGGGTTTGTTATGCAAAGGGAAGGTATTAGCACCCTATTCATCTACGATACTTTGCAGGAACCTCTTTGAAAATCTGTGTTTTTTGGATTTAAAAGGTATATACAAAAAGATGGTGGAGATGAGAAAATAAGTATTTTTTACAATTTTTGCAACCGTCGCGGTTGCGACCCTTTAGTGCATACGTACCACCTTCCATGAAATAGGGGATCAGGGTACTCGTAGTTCACCTTAAAATTTTTAAAACACATGTGTTGGTTAATTTTAAGAAAAAAGACATCATCGTCACATCCGAGTGGAAAACATACTTACTACCCACAATTATGAAAAAAAGACCATTTGCATCATCTCAAAGTAAAAGATATAACTTGGATTTAAAATCCATCACTCAACACCCAAGTGTAAAATGGTTCAATTCACTACATACTGTAGAAGTATAGTAGCTTGCATCACCACAAGATCAACAAGAGTCTAATATTTGAGAAAAGAGTTTTAAAGTGAAAATCCAAAGTGGCAAAATGGTTTGAATGGGGTTAAATGACTTTTAGTATTGAAAAAGATGTAAAAGTATGATTAAATTGATTAAATTTTTTATTAAGAAAAAGATTTTGAAAATGCATGGATCTAAGTCCAAGTTTATTATAAAAGTGGTTCAAGTTAGAAAAACAAAAAGAGTTTAAAATGAGGGAGAATATTTTTGAAATTAAAGAATATAGGAGGAGATGAAGGGACTATCCTATGTACACAAAGTAAAAGCTAAGGAAAAGAACGATCTAACCAATAAGAAGCCAACGCTTGACATAAAGAAGTCAATATAGAATTCACATCCTTTTGATTAAAGCCAAACAAGTATAATACTAAACCTCAGATGAATACCAAGCTTCAGATAAATTAAGAACCAAGCAAAGTTTTCATTGACAAAAATTGACCAGAGTAACAACTGCATACAGAGGAATTCTCAATCACAGATAAAGCATAAAAATTAGAATAACCTGCACACAAAAAATTCAAACCAATGCGTTGGAGTAAAACCCAGGGACTTCAGAAGATCTTCACAAAAATATCAACCAAAGATCACAAAGTTCAACGTCTCAGGACTTCTAATCCTAAGTCTTAGGAGTTCACAACTCCACAGTGCTAGGGATAGTAACCAGATAGTCCAAGTAACCTCACAGATTTTGATGTCCAAGTTGATTATTAAGTATATTGAAAAGAGAAAGGAAAATCTCAAGTGATCAAAGATAAAATAACAGGAAGCAAATGCTCAAGTGAGAAAAGATAAAATAACAAAAAATAAATGCTCAAGTGAGCAAAAGGAAAATAGCATGAGATGTAAATGCTTAAAGATAAATGACATAAAATAAAGACATAAAGTAAATGCATAAAGTAAAATTAATTGTCAATGGTTAATAGTTAGAAGTTAATAGTTGATGGTTGAGGACATTTTTAGATGAGTGATCCATAATTATTTGAACATTGAGCCTAAGTCAAAATTGATGAAGACTCATTAGAGGATTGATAGAATCAAAACCTCCTAACAATGAGCTTTCAAGGTTATTGGCCATAGCTCAACATTTAATCATCTTTGGGCTTACAAACACAAAGTTTGAGCCACTAAGAATCAATAAAAAGAAAAAAGAAAATGGGAGAATTCCAAGTGATATGATCCATGATGGTTTGAGCCTTGAGCCTAGGTCAAAGTTGATGAAGACTCATTAGAGGATTGGTAGAATCAAAGCCTCCTAACAATGAGCTTTCAAGGTTATTGACCATAGCTCAAGACTTAACCATAATTGGGCTTGTAAACATATAGTTTGGGCCACTAATAACCAATCAATAGGAAAATAAGAAAGGGGGATAAGATGAAGGGGAAAAGAGGAAGTCATAGTGTAACCAATACCTCAGATGAATCACAACTAGGTTTAACTCCATCAAAATCAATCAACCATCTTGGTGGATTTGGTCTCTTGACCTATCAACACCTAAGTTCCATTGATGTTGAGGAAGTTTATGACTCAAGAAGTGTTCAAGTATCATCAAGTCAGAACCAAATCAAATGAAATAAAAAATCCATTAAAATAAAATATAAAAAGATTTAAAAATGGTTATTGAATTTGAATTTATTGATGAAATACACAAAAGGTATCAAAACACTAAATAAAAATCCAAGAAAATTACCAATGGTCAAGTAGAGGTCAACAAGTGTTGACTTTTTAGGATTTTTAAAAGTCTGAAACTATTTTTAAAATATGAAGAAATAAGTAAAAAAAACCAAAAATCACAAAAAAAAACTAAAATCAGAAATAAAAATCAAACAAGATCACCAATATTTAAAAGAATGTCATTGGATCCTTCCCTATTTTTTTCCAGAATTTTAAAAGACTAAAAAGTATTTTTAAACAATAAAAACAAATCCAAAGATGAGAAAAATCAGGAAAAAAAATCAAATCATAAAATAAAATTATGAAAAAAATAAAAATCATAAAGAGAAAAATCAAAAGTATTTTTAGTAATTTTTTCATAATTTTAGAATCAGAAATGAATTTTCTATGAATTTTTGAAGTTTAAAACAATTTAATATAATAAATTAGAAAATAAAATAAAACCAAAAAATATGGGTCATCTGATCAATGTCAAAACGCGTTAGTAAGCAGATCTGAGGGACCAGACGTGTTGTACATGATATGCACATTAGTGAATAACACACTGAATCATTAATAAAAATGAGAAAATATAAAATAAACCAAAAAATGTGGACCATCTTATCAATGTCAAAACGCGTTAGTAATCAGATCCAAGGGACCTGGCACGTTGTGCATGTTTTGGTCATTAGTGAGAAACACACTGAATCCAGTTTAAACCGAGCCAACCAAATTAAAATGATTATCACACTATCATTGGTTGAAGAACGACACGTAGGTCGTCTTCAACCTCCAGACACCTGCAAATGGGGATTTTATGAGATTCTTCAAACATAAATTTTTGAAACTCATAGTGGTATCATTGGATTCGTCTTTTTCAGACGATTCTAACCATATCCTCATGAAATATTTCTTTAAACCACAACTTAGTCGATTTGGAAAAAATCAGATGAAAATTGCAAAATGAAATTTCAAAATAAATGATCAATTCTCAATGAAAACGAAAACTAAAAGAAGTGTGAGACTCAGAGGAAGAAAGACTACAACCTGGTAACTTGTTTGGATCGATTTGGTTGGAAAAAAAAATACCTGAACAAAGTTCAAAATATGAGCTCTGAAACAGAACTTTTGTAGCTTGATTTATGGCTCGAATTGCTTGGTTTAAGTGATGTTGAGTTTGTGTAATAGTTGAGAAAGAAGAGTCAGAAGAGAATTTGAAGAAAGAAGGCTTGAAATTATGAAATGGATTTTTTAAATTTCAAGATTCGTGTGGAACTTTGGCAGGGTGATTATGGTTGTATAAAGCTTAGGAAATGAGAGGAATATGGTCCTCTATTTATAGGAGAGTGAATGGTGATGAGAATTGAAAGGATTTGTGAGAAAATCGTGTGAACTAAGCTAACCCGATGATTGCAAAAAGTGTGACTCCATGTGCATAAAAACTCAGTCATTCTTTGCAGTTTTGTCTTCTAAATGACTCCAACAAGTTTATTAATCATGTTTAAGTGGAAAACATGCATCAATTTTGTGTTTAGAAGCCACACTAATCAAAATTAATTTCGACTTCAAGCAAAAAACTCAGTTTCAAGATACCAACTTCACAACCATGGTGCCAACAATGTAGTGTGCTTTATGATATGATTCTTGAAGCATTGGAAAGACAAGGTCATCAACTTTACATTGTGCCGAGAAATAATTTATTTGGATGATTGAGCACAAAGTTATGTTCATTTGAAATTGAAAAAAAAACATACGGATCTTGGTACTTAGAAAAAGTTCTAAGTGTTGAGCTTCAAAATGACCCATAATGTTCTTAAAAGTTATAAGCCCTTCCACTAAAAATTGGCTCTTGATCCTTGAAGATGAAATGTAATAGACCCTTAAAATTGAATTGTAGGATTGAGATTACTCAAAAAGCATAAAAAAGAAAGAGTTATGGCGTTAGGAAGATGATGAAATTCTCTTGAGGAATTCACAAATGACCTATAATATTTTCAATTCTTGAATGACTTTCCAAGCATTTTTAAGACTTACCCCTTTAAACAAAGTTTTATTAGACACTTTCAAGTTTATTATGAAAAAATAATGAGCTCATGGAGATAAAAATTGACCAAGTTATGGTCCCTTATAGTCAAATCATAGAATTCATTGGCTTTTCCAAGGGACTTGTAATCTTTTCCAAACTTAAATGATCTTCCTCTAAAAATTAGCCTTTTATACTTGAAGAGAAAATGTTAAGGACTCCTTTAAGATAATCATAGCTTTAGAACCAACTAAAAATCTCAAAAATTGAATAAAATATGGCCTTTGAAAGTCAACCAAACCTTACTCAGAAAGTACAAAAATGCCTTATAACCCCTTTCAACTTTTGATGATTTTCTTTGTACAATTGGACCTTGTCATATGAAGAGAAGTTGTTATAGATAATGATAGGAATCCATAGAAAAAAGAACCACTTCAAAAATATTGAAAATTGCAGGAATTATGCACTGGTGATCATAGAATCAAGGATTTGTCCAATTAGGTCAAACTTCTTGAATCAACTTTGAATATTTTGAACTTTCTTTGCAAACTAAAGCACGATGAATCAAATGAGACATTTCAATGATGTTATATTGAAGAACACTTGATGATGGAGCTTATATCCCAATGAAACTTGGTAAAGAAGGCATGGAAATAAACACAT